CTTTGCGATTCAAATCTCGGTCGAGTTCTGCATGGGCCCCAATACTCTGTCCATCTTGTCGGACCCAGTGCAACAGCCTATGGCTACAGTTGAGAGCTTCCTCATCTTCCAAATATTCAATCAATCGGTATATGCCAGATCCTTCTGAATAGCTTTGGGAAACGTGGGATGCTAGCGATCTGGTCATTTATATTTGTCTCGCTGTATGCATTTCATAGTTGTTTGATACCTTCTGCTCAACCTCTACAGCTTCATGGGCGGCTTCAGTCTGGTAAGTGGCTCGATACCGCTCTTCATTGGCTTTCTTTTACCTTCCTTTATATTAGCTTACATCGTCATCCCGCCAAACATTCGCGTTCGTAGTTGCAGTTCTTCAAGTTGCACCTTCTCATATGCTGAATAAAACCCTAGATTTTCGCGAGACGGAGCTCTGCCTTTCTCCACCTTTCTGTATAAAATCAACTCATTCACAGGAACCCCTGTACGATGCGTTTGGGGTTCTGCGACCTGTGCTTTACTACTCGGCTTTATACCCTTTGCTGGACCCGTCGCCGCCGGCTCGCTTTTCACACTCGGTGTTGTCGGGCAATATCTTGCCAATTCGATCCCAATCGCCACAAGATATCTCGGTGGCCAGCCTTTCAAGAAGGGACCGTTCCATCTTGGCAGTTTTGTGCGTCTAATCGCTCCATGGGATGCCCCCAATCTCATTTGAAACTTGCAGAGCATGCCGGTGGCAATAATTGCTGTGCTGTGGATGTGGTTCATGACCATCGTTTTGATGTTCCCGTCGGCACCGGACCCCGGTTCACCGACAATGAACTATACCGTCGTGGTGCTCGGAGGTGTGCTATTCCTTTCCATTGTTTACTACTACATCCCCGCCTATGGTGGGCGGTATTGGTTCAAAGGGCCCGTCGCAAATGTTGAGGCAGAACTTGATCGTACTGACTCGGCAGTCACGGTTGGCGACAAGGTTGACGATCATTCGACTTGATTATATTGACCACAAGAGAGAAGGGGCTTACAAAGCTAGCAATGACAGGATTACTTTGTATCGTGGCTGGACATATAGGCTCCAATCATATACTTCTCCTGGAGTTGGACGGCAGGGGCCGCAGACATAATCAACCTCGGCCACTTTGTTAAAAGTCCCTACGACAAAGGCAACAGTATTGGCCAGGCTTCCCCAGATCCCAGCTCAAATCTCTCATGATCGTGGGGCTATGCAGTCTCGTAGGCCCGTGACCGGCCTGGTACGGTGGTTTTCTAGATTCCTGAGCTCTCGTCTCACGCCGCTTTTCTTTTCGATTGTTCCCTGCCGACGGTGAGCTTTGAGTCGCGAGTCACCATCCGACGGGAAGGCTGGACGGAGATCTAAGACTCCACATGCCTCGCATTCTGGCCAGAGGAATGACTGATTTCTGTGGGTCCTCCGGTTGACCCGCCGGTTACCCGCAGCCCGCTGCTACAAAACGCATGCATTACTTCCTCCGTAAAGCATACCGATGTCTTGGGACATCATCATGGGGCTGAGGAACCTGTCAGGCAGTGCGCCCACGATAGCAACTTCTCTATCACACTGCAAACCAAACCAAAATAACAGAAGAGAGAATAACATACGATGTATCTGTATTGTTAGAAGAGATTCGATGTTACATCAAATATTTGCGCCCTGCTCGAAGCCACGATTTTTAAGCCGCGTAGTACATAGTACGGACTGCGTATCGAACGGCAAAGCGGAATTGCCTATTTAGCGCAACACGAGCTACTCGCTGAAAGATCCAAGTCGCCACACGGTCGGATCTGCTATTTTTACAGATGAATGTCAGTATCCCCTAAATCGAGGTCTGCTCATTACTCGTTCTCTTAACGAAATCTACGGCTTTTGTTTGGCTCCACCTCCATCTAGCTTATCTCCTTTCTCTTTCTTTTGCCTCGTCCCTCTTTTCCACCGTCAAATGTTCAACGAGGCTGTGCTTCAATACAAACGGCTCAACTTGGCTCAAACAAATACTTCACAGCTCTCCCTTTGAAGTTTCCTCGTTTGGGATCACATTCTCACTGTGCCCGGAATTCAATTCCTGGTTGCGAACTGATCCTGACGTTAGTTCCTGTGCATCTTCCTCATCCAATGACTGCGCTCTTAGCCTTTCAAGATGCATCTTACTTGAGGCCTACAAAAATGGAATTCAAGGTTAATAGCTTTTGACAGCTACCTGTTCGAAGCCCGCATCACATCGTTGCGCCGCAGGATGCTGCGAAACTGCGGCCACGGGTCTCTGCTCTATAAAAGGTCAGCCTGTTATCCACAATCCTGCCAGACATCTTGACCTCGCTCTTTCTCTTCTGCAGCAGCTCCTAAAAATACCTTGACTTGGGATTAAACTTCATCAACCAATGCGCATGAAATCTACTGGCATCCGAGCAATTTTCAATATTTCCTGGAGGCTGGCCCACACAGCAAGTTGACCTCATCAAGATTCCCTGTTTCCTCTCGATCCCTGATTGCGTGTCGGTTTGCTCACTTTCGGAAGAAATATGTATCCAACGGTTGTGTTAACACCTACATAATGAAATGTGATGTGTTTCTCCTCCGTTAAAGTGCCGGAGCGGAGCGGCGGCATATCTTGTCCGATTTGACAATTCTCCGGCCGCCGTTGATCCATCTGCACTTCACCCTTTTTTTTTCTCCATGTTGCTGGATCTGCTGAAATACCACCGTATCTGTGTTTCTTGAGGTTGACGCTTAGCCTGGGGCGCTAACGTTAAACGGGCGCAGAACCACTGTGAGAACTCGGCTTACTCGGATCGCTCCGATCAGCAATCACGACATGGCATCACGGCGCCGCGGCATGTCACGCATCGCGCCGCTGACGCGGCGTCGCTGACACAACATTCACGCTCTGTGCACCACGGGTCGCTCGCTCGTCATCCGGAATGTCCCGGTCGTCGCTGCCGCTGAGACGGGGGCTCTCAAAGTGCGGCAGGAAAATGTGCTATCTAGCCGCTAAATGCAAATGGACAAATGAACTATCCACTATACACTAACAACCAAATCACACTACAACCAATCACTCCTCTTGTATTGAGAGCTTTGAGTCGGGTAGTTCGGGGTTTGAATCAACGGTTTGTTGACCCTATAGCTAGTCTGTACTCGTAGGGGTACTTGCTAAGATCGCTACTCAATTAAGGTGTCTTATTTGAGTAAGGTTCTTGGATATTGTCTGGGTAGTTCTGGTCTTATTTCGAGACTAATGCGGTACAATGTACGATGTTTATAGAGTTTAATGACACAAGGTCGGGTTTGGGTGTCTAATAGACAGTTTTGTGGTTATACACCAATGATTCTGGGTGGCTTTCGGCCTTAAAAGAGCTTTTGGCTCAGTATAGATGTTTGGCTTTCGGCCTTAAGAGAGCTTTCGACTCAATATGATTCAACGAGACTGGTTCTGACGGCTTTCGGCCTTAAAAGAGCTTTTGGCTCAGTACTGATGTCGGCTTTCGGCCTTATTCAAAGGGTTTTCGACCCAGTTCTCGAGGTTTCTTATATTTTTAAGGACTGATCCAAATCCAAATCTATTTCTGGTGCTAGGTGTCTGTGGGCTAGGCCCGAGCTAATCAAATCTAGTGGAACAAACAAGGACAACCAACTCTGGTGCCTGCCTCCAAGGGATATGCGCTCCCGTTCCTGCCCTTTCTGCCCTTTATTTATACTACTCTCAACCTGCTTACACTACTTGGTTTACGCTACCTGCTCTCTAATATGACTCGTACTGCTCCCTTGTCTCCGACGGCGTCCCTCGTTCTTGATTGGCCAGTAAAGGTGTGCTCTGACAGCTGCACACGGTCGTTGGTTTGATCCATCAAGGAGCTCTTCTTGGCAACTGATGCCTTGCTCGAGTAAGGTCTTCTTCGTCTGTGGCTCTATGTCCCGAGCCCGGAAGGGTCTTCTTCGTCTAGCCTGCCATCGTAGCTTCAATACGGTACCCCATAGTCATAGGTTAGCTCAACCCGTCTATCCATGGTTCGATTAGGAACCTAGGATGCCTTATCCGATTTAAGGATTATCGCGATCTCTATAGTGATGCTGGTTGCCTAGATCCGGAATTGCCGGTTCTATTCTTGGATGCTATCTGTCTTGGCAGTATCTGCCTTCTCTCAGTAGCCATTCTCATCATGTGGCCTGAACGCGCTAGTCCCTTGTGTCAAACACGGACAATCTTAGTCTAGTCAATCTTTTATGAAGGACTTGGTTCCGCCACTGTGCAAATATGATAGTTTCCTTCCCATCTCCTTGGTAAGTGTCCCAGCAAGCAGCCTTAGGCTTTATATAACCTAGTTTCTCTGCCACGATAGTCTAGTTCCTTACTCGAGTAAGACATATATTGGCCCCATTTGTGGAGGTACCGCTATAGATCCTCCCGGTTCATTCCCTAGTGCTATTAGACTTGTTAGGCTACTCGTTCGGAGCTCCCGAAAGCCTCTTAGGTATGTAGCACACTATGCTTGACAGCTGGAAATGCATAAAATGCGCAAATTCAGGTGTACTTGATTACACGGCTTATCACCGCACTCATCAGAATGTAATGGATGGGGCGCATAGCGCCTCGGCGCCTAACAAATTTATTCTATGGATTTCAAAACAGGTTATGGTAATAAAGCCATCTCACTCTAAATCTCCAAATTCAGATTTTTAGGGGTCATCCCCAAATTCAACCCAGCTCATTTCAGCACATTTTTCATGAAGGGTTGATGAAAATAGACCATTGAATGAAGTGGGGAAAAAAAACTGATTTCTGCAGCACAAACAAAATGACTTGGGCCTGAATCGAGCAGGCTTCTCCTGCTGAACACACTCTGTTTGCATTCGACCAATAGCAAGCAGGTATGGACCATCCACCACCAAGCCTTTCCCACTGTACTCAGATTCCAATTTGTAGTACACTTTTTATGTGGACATGGTTGAGAATTTAAAAAAACCTCCTAAACCTCTTCAATGGCTCAGGCCTGATTCAAACAGGCTTCTCCGGCTGGTACATGGTAGATTCACACAAGAAGCAGGTGTGGGATCATCCACTACTGAGCCTTCCTTATCTCAACCAACACTTCAATTTATTCTACAGATTTCAAAGCAGGTTACATTATAGTAATAAAACCATTCTCGCTCCTCAAAGCTCAGATTTTCGAAGAATTATCCCAAATGCAACCTAAGCTCGTTTCCGGCACATTTTCTTACGAGTTGTAGTGATAAGAGCCAAAAAAAAACCAACCTGCTATTATTTCTACCTATGGCTCAGGCCTGATTCGAACAGGCATCTCCTGCTGGTACATGGAGAAAACTTGACAAGAAGCAGGTGTGGACCATCCACCACTGAGCCTTGCTAATTTATCCTCAGATTCTGATTTGTAGCACTCTTCGGAGAGGATCATGGTGAGAATAAAAATATTTACCCTGGTCCATAATATGGCTTAGTGCTGGCCATAAATACGATACGCCAAAATATATTTTGAATATATTCGAATACATACGCATACAATACGGCCCCAGGACCTACACCAGAATATGGATACAGCTGAATATGAATACAATACGATATGGATATAATACGATATGTGTCCCATCGTATTCAAATATATTTGAATACTCTGAAGTTGGCTTTTGCCGCCTTCGGGCCTCCGCCGGGACACATCGGATCAATGCATTCTGGCGGCAGGCCTGCAAGCCGAGTCTGATCTGCACTGACCACCGCTGGTCCAGCCTCGGCTTCAATCAATCAATCGGGTGGTGTGATCAAAAGTTGTGATCCGGGGTTTGAAACACACCGACTATTGATAGTGGCTACCTGCTGGTCCCCAAAGAACCAATTCATACATTAGGAGGGGTGTGCAAGGACCTTCCAACACTCTGGCAAAGCTTTGGTCCAGTGTGAGCCTCCTTTTCTGTGACTGCAGGTGGCTCAGAATATATTTGAATATATTCATATCGTATTCATATTCAGGCCGTTGAATATGAATATGATACACTAAGAATACGATACGCGCCCGCAGGGGTGAATACGATACGCCATTTGCCTTATCGTATTCATATTTGGCCAGCACTAATATGGCTTGGGCCTGATTCAAACAGGCTTCCCCTGCTGGGTAATAGCAGATTGTACACCAGAAGCAGGTGTGGACCATCCACCACTGAGCCTCTCCTGTCCTGATCCACTATTCAATTTATTCTATAGATTTCAAAACAGGTTACATTATGCTAATAAAACCATCTCACTCTTCAAAGCTCAGATTTTCGAAGAATTATTTCAAATGCAACCTAAGCTCGTTTCCGGAACATTTTCTTATGAGTTGAGGAAATATAAGCCAAAAAAATTATCTTTCTACCTATGGCTCAGGCCTGATTTAAACAGGCTGCTCCCACCGGCACGGGGTATATTCTGCACAAGAAGCAGGTGTGGACAGGACCTGTGATCATCCTAATTAGTAAGAGGTCGGATACCGAGTTCAGACAAAATTTCCAGAAAATTTTGACCAGAAAAAAAAACAAAAAGAATGCCCTTGTCGAAATAATTGTTTTGGCCGACTTGAAAAGCGTGGGAAAGAAAAAAACTTCGGACAAAACTCAACTTTGGGCCCGATTTCGGTATCCAACCTCTGTTGGGATAATCACAGGCTAAAAAATACCTTGATTCACAGTACTTATGCTGGATCCAGACAGGGTGTTTCCAAAACACACCAGCCGATACAACCCAGTTGCTAATAAAAACTGTGTGGTACTGAGCTAAACACCGAGGAGGGATTTCACCAAAGGAAAGCAAAGGAAATAAATAAATAAAGGGGGTGAGAGAAATAGTGGCTTGGGCCTGAATCAAACAGGCTCCTCCTGCTGTGTACAGGTTATTCTCAAATATACAAACTTTTAGGAGGAGAAGGCTGTTCGAATCGGGCCTGAGCCATTGAATATGGACGAGGGCAAATATCTTTTATTCTCACCATGATCCTCTCAAAAGAGTGCTACCAATCAGAATTTGAGGATATGTTGGAAGGGCTTGGTGGTGGATGGTCCACACCTGCTTCTGGTATATGATTTGCTATTGCCCAGCTGGAGAAGCTGTTTGAATCGGGCCTGAGCTATTAAAAAGGTTTGGGGTGATCTTTTTTGTTCTCAACCATGTCCGCATGAAAAAAAAGTGTACTACAAATTAGAATCTGAGCATAAGTGGGAAAGGCTTGGTGGTGGATGGTCCACACCTGCTTCAAGTATTCCCTCTGACGTATACATAGCAGGTGTGGACCATCCACCACTGAGCTGTAAACCTGCCAGTTTACGACATCTCCCATTGTCCTTATATAGGCGCGCGATTGATTAGTACCATCTAATCAATTATCTACCTTTTGGTGTAGCGGTTATGAACGCGCCTCTGGCCTGCTTACATTAATTGATTAGATAACGTTGGCAGAAGGTCACAAGTTCGATCCCAGCCAGTGACACCATTTACCACCGAAATGGATAAAGGTCACTGGACACCGTGGGACACCGAAAGTGACCTTGCAAGCCAACGGCAGGGATTGCAACCCTGGGGCTGATTTATAAGACCTGATAACCACTGGAAAACCCATACAGTCTCTCTCACAACGATGGGAGGAGAGAGAAGGGACAAAAGTTTCCAGAGAGGGGAAGGGTGTAAACCTGCCAGTTTACGACATCTCCCATTGTCCTTATATAGGCGCGCGATTGATTAGTACCATCTAATCAATTATCTACCTTTTGGTGTAGCGGTTATGAACGCGCCTCTGGCCTGCTTACACTACTGAGCCTTCCTTATCCCAACCGACACTTCTTCTAGAGACTTCAAAACAGCCTGTTACATTATGGCAAGGCATGTAAGATGAAACCACTCAGGTTTTAGAAGAATTGTCCCAAAATTCAACCCAACTCATTTCAACAGCATTTTCTTGTGGGTTGAGGAAATATGAGCTAAAAAAATGCAATAGTCCAGCTGATTGCCAGCGAAACGAGCAATTATCCGCTAAAGGGCAACAAAATGCGGAAACCAAGGACAAATTCTGCACGTACCCGAGAACATCGGAATTCAAGGATCACCCCAAAACTCACTCAAAAAGCCGATTTGGTGAGTAAACTTGGGAATATGAATGTTGTCATTTATATCTACCTTAATATTCAAGGTGGGAGGTGCTCCCCACTTTTGAGAGTGTTTTCATTCTCGAGGGATGCCACCATGTGTCACGGGTTTCCATCTTCAGAGCGAGCACCTAGCACCGTTGCAGATGTATTTTATGGCTCAAGGCTTCTCCTGCTAAATGCAAATTATGCAACGAATACATAGCAGGTATGGACCATCCACTAGCAAGCCTTTCCTAGTTAGCTTCATAATCTGATTTGTTGTGCCCTTTTGTGAGGATCGTGGTGAGAATAAAAAGAAATTACCCTCATCCTTATTTAATGGCTCAGGCCTGATTCAAACAGGCTTCTCCCGCTGGGATGTGGTATATTCTGCACAAGAAGCATGTGTAGACCATCCATCACCAAGCCTTCCCAATCCTAAAGAATGCCTCAATTCACAGTATATACTTGATACTTATGCTGGATCCAGTATGATGTTTCCAAAACACAGCAGCTAATACAGCCCAGGTGCTGTGTAGTACTGAGTTTTATACCAAGGAGGGATTCCGCCATAAAGCAGGTGTGGACCATCTACCACCAAGCCTTTTCAACATATGCTTGTAATCTGATTTGTAGTACACTTTGTATGCGGGGGGGGACATGGTTGAGAATAAAAAGTGGTACCGAAAACTAGTCAGAGGTACTCTCATTTCATACCTTGTCACAGTACAGCACAATAAATTGCCACTAGAGATTGGGTTGAGCCTGTTCAACTCATGCCAGATGTTATGAATCTGTGCTTCGCCCACTGCCGAAGTGTGGGAGAAATATGCTGTCTAGCGGTGTACGCAGAGATTTGGTTCAAGAACCTTAGAAAAAGCTAACACCTCACGGCAAATGATAAGATACCCGCCATCCACCCTCGACAAACATCACGTGTTATTTCCATATTGGCTAACGAAGGAATATCAGCACAACAACTGGTTCCAGGGAAAATCCCTCTGACCAGATTGAAGATATTCATGTGAAAAAGCTGCAAATAAAAATATAGAGCTTCACGGTCCGTGTGGACAAAGTAGTTCCGCAAACAATGTGAGGATCAATCGGCCCCATCAATCCGTGCCAATTTTGGCTCTGTGGAAAGTCGAGCTAACTCCGTGTGCAAATGGGTGGTTATCACCCAATTTTTTTTAAGAAAGCACAATACAAGAGACCTATCTTCAATCTGGTCGAAGGATTTGACTCGATAGTTGCGGTAGATTATTTTATGGATTTTTCATGTCACCGATCCGTAATAGGAAATAACACGTGACGTTTGTCGAGGGTGGATGGCGGGTATCTTAATTACCAGTCAGATAGTAAGTGTGAGACTTGACTATACGCAAACGACAGAATATCACGTAGTTCTTAGGACTGCCATGCTAAGAAATATATCTGCTATGTGAGGCAACAACTGTAGCCTTGAAGTGGTAAGATTCCTGCTGGAAAGCTGGCACTGCAAGGGGTGGATAATATATTGCAAAGGTAAGACAGGTTGTCCCCATAGGGTGGGAGGACTCTCTTTACATAAGTAGAAATAATTGTAATTATAGCTGCATGTCTCAACTCACAGCCCGAAGATCACCCGAGGGCACGCCCAAGGAAAAGCACTGCAAGATGCGACACATCAGACCTTGAACAATGTTTCGAACCGTGAGAGTTCATGTAGGATATTTGATCCCGTATCCGGCTCGGTTACGATGTTTGTGGGTGCCCAAAAGAATTACAAAAAATGTGCCCAAAAAGGAAAGAGGAAGAACAAGAGATTTCGGATCAAGATACATCGGGAATCTCTACACGACAAGCCTGGAATTGGCCTGCTTCGAGCCAAAAAATTTAGGCACAGCGGCATGCTCTAGCTCTAAAAATAGGGGTTAAAAAGTCAAATCAGAGCCTTATAGCAGCTGTATCTGGAAGATAGAGGA